CATCTTGGAGAGGATTAAACCAAGCTACTCCTTGGAGGCAAGGATTCTGGGGCTTCGTCTGACATACTTTGGACATGTTGCCAGGAGGGACGGGTCCTTTGAGAGGGACAGCGCAGGAGCGGAAGACCCTCTATGAGATGGATTGATTCAGTCACTGGGGTAATCGAGATGGGTGTGTCAGAGGCGGTGTGGTTGGCCAGGATAGAGCAGGGTTTAGGGCTGTTGTGCATAGGGTCGCTATGAGTCGGAAATGAGTCGATGGCACATAACAACAACAACAACCTCTTTGCAGATGTCTTTTGCTTTGTCTTCTGGAGCTGCCCTTTGGAGTCCTGTTTCCCTCTCCAGCTTTTTTGCTCTTTGTTTTGGCATATCTTTCTGACCCTGTTTTGATCTTTTATGTCTCCTATATCCTTATAATAACCTTTTGGTTTCTATATGGATGATATCTCTGATATCATACCACAGCTTATCTCTTCTTTCAATCAGTAGCAGTGTTCAGTGTATCGAACGTATTCTTGATAATGTTTTTAAATTCAAGTGTGGTACACTAAGGGTCATCTTTTAGTTCTCCTGGACTTCCGTTTTCTTCACTTTAAATTTGAAGTTGCACGTGCACATGAATAATTGATGGTCTGTTCCATAGTCAGTCTCTGGAGTTGTTTTGACTGCTCATACTGAGCTTCTGCATGATCTCTTTCCAAACATGTAGTCAGTCTTATTTCTTAGTCCCTCAGGAGAGGTTCATGTATATAGTAGCTGTTTATGTTGTTTAAAAGTTACTTGGAGTGAGTACAAAATTCTGTCATGAAATTTCCAGCCTCATTTCAGTCGTTAAGGCAGTATTTTCTGACTACCATCAGTAGTTGATGCATATATTTGGAAAATTAGTTGTATTGACAGGTTTCCTGGTATCCATATGGATAGTATCCTATCTCTCAAAGCATTGTACTTCAGGTTCTAAATGCTCTTTTGATGATGACTATGACACCATTTCTCTTCAGTTAATCATTCCTGGCACAGTAGATCGATGATTGTCTAAATGGCTGGTACCAGTACATGTCAACTAAGATGCCTAGGATGTTGATCTTTGTGTGTTCCATTTCATTTCTTGACAACTACCAGTTTTCTTAGATTCATACTTTGTACATTTCATGTTCCAGTTATTAATTAATGTTTAGAACCATTTCTCCTTGTTTTGGGTCTTGCTATTTCAACAGATGAAGGCCCTTCATTGGGTCAAAGCTTACGTCACATCTGTGTCCACTCTTTGAGGAGGGTGCTTTCCCCTTGCGTTTTCAGTGCCTTCCAGTCTGAGGGCCTCATCTTCTGGCACTGTATCCAACAATATTCTTCCATTATTTCAGAAATCCGTTATTTCAGAGGTAGATGGCCAGTTCTGCTTCTTTATTAATAAACTGTGGCTTAGTTTTCAGCATCAAAGGAACATGCATATCATTCATAGCATTGCTACAGACTGATAACACGGTTTCTATATATGGAGAAATATGCTTCCCATAGGGAGCTAGGGTGGCCTGATGGTACAGAGTTACACTGCCAATTCAGAGACACTTGGTTTGAATTCACCAGCAGCTCCACAGGAGAAAGATAGCAATTTCCTCCATGCAATTTATTGCCTGCCTCTACAAAACCCAATGGAGCATCAGCTGTGAGTCGATTCTAACTTCATTGTTACTTAACAGCAACATGCTCCCCATGTTTAGCATGGCAATACTGATAGTGCTTGATTTCAGCTCTGCTTTCTTCTTTGTTACTTTTAGGATCACTGTGTCCAGTAGTTAATGTTGTTGTTGTTGTTATGTGCCATTGAGTCGCTTGCGACTCATAGCGACCTTATGTACAACAGCCCTAAACTCTGCTCTGCCCTGTGCCGTCGCACTGTGTCTGACACACCCATCCTGATTACCCAGTCACTGAATCAATCCACCTCCTAGAGGGCCTTCCCCTCCTAGAGGGCCTTCCCCTCCTGTGCCTGCCCTCTACCCTCCCAAGCATGATGTCCTTCTCTAAGGACCTGTCCCTCCTTACAACATGACCAAATTCTGTCAGACATAGCCTCAGAATCTTTGGCTCTAAGGAGCAGCCCGTTTTAACCCTCTCCATGGTACCCTCAGTACTCTTCCCCAACACCAAAGCTCAAATGCATCAATTCTCCTTCTGTCCTCCTTAGTCATTGTCCAACTCTCTGATGCATAACAAGTGATTGCGAAGACCATGGCCTCTATCAGATGCACCTTAGTCTCCAGAGAGACACCATTGCTCTTCAGTACTTTGGAGAGGTCCCTAACAGCCGACTTTCCCATGGCATTGCGCCTTTTAATT